AAAAAAAAAAAAAAAAGTTATACAAGGAAAGAGTTCAATACATTTCGGATGTATAATAGTCTTTAAAGCATTTATCTCAAAAGACTGAATTATCTTACAGTTCTTATAATTACAAGAAGAATCAAATTTCAGCCATGTCAAGTGAGAGTTATCTATAAATTATTTATTTAAAGTTTTAAATCTAACATTTACTTACAATGGACTACTGCAAGAATAATAATTGTTTCTCTTCACATGTATCATACAGTAATAAGCATAGCAGCACCCAGTCTGAATTACAGTATTTCCAAACTCCTCTTGCTACTTTCTGTGAGTTTTTCTATATTTGATTCACCCAGTACATTCATTGGTGAATGCAGCTTTAAAAAATTACATGTGTAAGGAAATTTACTATAAAGAAATTACAATTGTCTTTATTTACATATAGTACTGTACATAGAGGAAGGGCAGACAAATAAATATAGCAAAATAAAAAAATGAAAATATAGAAAAAAAAGTCTTTTGAATAAATTTGATTCCTTGGCTATCAAACAGCCCAGATCTTTCACCAATTGAGAATGTGTGGAACATTACAAAGAAACGTCTGCAAAAAACATACCCTTGGACAATTGAAGGAGTAAAAGCTTCTGTCCTAACTATCTGGAATTCCAGATAGTTAGTTAGGACAGCTGACGGCAGATGAATGTGAACATCTAGTCAACAGCATGCCAAAATGTATGGAAGGTGTTTTGGCTGCAAAAGGTGATGCAACAAAATATTAAACATGCAGTGGTCTATGTTCATTGATGGGAGTGATGCAGTGATCTGTTTTTTGATGCCTATGACTCAAGTTTGATTTTCTTAATTTTGTTAAAATTTTTGCAAGATATCATGTTGATATTTAGCAAAAATAAAGATTAATTACTGTAATTTGTTTTAAATTATGTAAAACATTCATGCAATGAATCAAAGCTTTAAACCTATCTATTGGATGGCATGTTAACTGCAGCCTGATCTATGTTCAGTGATGACTACTGTACTATATATAAATTTTTAAAGCTGAAATCTTTTCATAACCATAAAAGCAGATCATCTTTAAAAAGAGTACAAATAGCATTAATAGTCTAATAGTCTAACAAAAACCATCACATTCTTAGTTTGAGGTTAAAATTTTTCTTATTTTTCTAAACACTTATTTACTCTTGTTGGAAATTATTGCAACAAAATTTGTTACAGAACTCTCAAAATCTGTCATATTAACTGCAAAGATAGTTTATTTTGAAATTTTCATTGATAAATTAAAGAAAATTTTTTCAACATTTAATAAATGATATCATCAAAGATTATTTTTCTAAAAGCTGTTTTTGAACCAAAATGTGATAGGCAAACTATATAATTTGTCTATACGTTACTAGCCACACACAAATGCTATTTATTAGCAAAAGGTGTATTCTAGGTAACCACATTCAAATTCAAATTTTTCTTACTGATAGAATGATGTATTAATTGCATCACTGAGTTTGTTAAAATTACTGATTTTACCAAATGACAGATAAAACTGGCATTGTTGCACTAATAGCCTAATGGAGCAGATATGCTTTTAACTCTCTGCTGATATGCATATGATTTGATTTGATAACAATGGCATGTATCGTGAGCAATGGCGAACTTTTCGAACATACTCGACATTAACTTGTTATCACTGTGTGACAGTTTGCCTTTCCGTTGTTTTTTGTGTGATGTTATCAAACTGTATTGACATAAGTACATATTTTATGCAATAAATTGTGTGTATTTCTTCATGGCTATGGCTATTCCTTTCAAACAAAATGGCATGCATCACTTTCAGACATTTTTGGGTATAAAGGCGACAATTTATCTTATCCATATGAACCACGTCTTTTCATACTAATTAATTGATGCTCTAAAACTTTCTAATTGGAAAGTTTGCTCTATCTGTTTTTGTTTTCGATTTGCACTGCCTATCTTTCAAATTTTGCCACTAGGGGTGATGCTGTCGTTTGCATTAGGTCAGGCATAGTCGCTTTACTATACCGTTAACTCACTTGCATAGCTGTAGTTCTTTCCGTTAGCAAGAATTTTCTGGTTAAAGGGACTTTCCTATGCATCCTGTATTTTTGCAGCAGAAAACATTGTGTTAACAATTCATTTTTTCATAAAATGTATTTAGTGTGTTTGGTTTTATTTTTTCTTCCACTATTTTTAATGAGTTAAGTTTGTATAATAATAAATAGATTAATTAATTTGTTATACTGTTGATAAAATAAATTAAAATTACAGGATTAACAGGAAAAAAAGTAGCATTCAATACATGATTAAAAATCTTGATATTTTTATTTAATATTTTAAATAAATAATTATAATTGACATAATATTTCAGATAAAATCACTTTATTTGAAACATTTTAGTATAAATGATTCTATCATATTGATTTAGTATATCAATTAAGAGTAATTGTAGACTAGTCTCGAAATAAGGAACTAATCTTGGACAAGAATTTGAATTCATTTGAAGACAAAAATTAAATTTAGAAATTGTAATAATTTCTTTAGAATGAATGAAATTAAAAATATTAAAAAATTATGAAGNTTCTTTTCTATTAAAATATCTTTTAATTATTATTATATACATAGTAAAAAGTATGGGATATATTCATATTGCCAATCTGCCAGTTTAGTTATTAGCCTGAATATAGTCTGATAGGTAATCTGGCAGATCATTTAGCAAATTATAATAATGTATGCACAAGTTTGATTATTACTTGTGTATTAATTTCAATAGAATTTTTGATAATGATAAATATATATGTAGAATAATGTAAAACAAGAAAAAGCAGGATATACTTAAAGCATTTAATCAAATAAAATTAGGAAAAGAACTGCAAGAATTGAATGTTTGCTTTAAATTTTTATGGAAATCACATCCTTATTTTTATACAAAAACTTTTAGTTTACATTAGCTTGTGTGAGATATAACTACAGATGGAAAAACTTTCAATCTTACACTATAATTAAATTTGTTAGCTTATACTTCTAAAGGAGAAAAAAACAATTATTCAAGAAGCAATATAATTTGAAGATCTCTAATTTTCTAGCATTCATTTTTACATTGTGAGCCAGTACTTTTATTGGTGTAAATTATAAATTTAACCTGAAGATTGAAAGTACAAGTTTACAATTTAGAACAAATATAGGAAATTTATTAGTTTCTATAATAAATAATAATGTTTATTTATGTTATGTTTATTGTTATTTTGTATTTAGATTAATTACAGAATTTATATGCCAATAATAAATGTGATATTTCAATAATTTTAGTGGATTCAACCGTTAAAAAGAAGAGATTTCCTTCCACAATTAAATGAATTGTTAAAATTAGATAATGATAAAAATTGGAGGTTTAGATTAACTTTAGCTGAGTAAGTATTATTTTAGTTTCAAAGATTTATTGTAAATAATAATCTATTATTTTATAATTAATTTAGTTAGTATAATTTGAAATTCTTACAGAAGAAAATAATTTAGTTTTCTGTATTTTTTAAAAAAAGTAATTCTTAATTCTTTAGGTTTATTTTATTTTATTTTTCCTTCAAACAGGCAATTAATATCCCTTACAAATTTGTACAGTCCCATTGATGTCAAAGAATATCTAATTCCTATTACCTTAATTCTAGTCAGAGATAAAGTGTGTGCAGTTCGAAGAGTTGCAATAAGAGCAGTAAGTTTCTGTTTTGCAATGTAAATTTTAAATTGAATGGCCGGAAAATAATTTCAAAATTACTGTAGAAATAATGTGAAAAGGCAATTACATAAATTTGCTTTTTTCAGATAGCTGTAATGCTAAAGCGATTACAGCAGAGCTCTAATGCAGAACTACAGCGAAATTTATTAATAGAACTTGAAAAGAAATTCAAGTGTGGATCAAAATGGGTATTGAGACAGACGTAAGTGTTAAAGAAATTATTTTTCTACAATAAATTTAAACTTTAACTTCTTACTTAAATAATATCAAATTTTTAAAAAAAATTATTATTTGTAGATATGCTTTACTCTGTCAGCATATTGCTCAGGAAAATTCCCTTCCCAAAGACCAGTACATTCAAGAAATTGTGCCTCACTTATTTACACTCAGTTGGGATAGCGTTCCCAATGTTAGATTAGCAATTGCCAGATGTTTAACCGAAACTTTACTTCCATTAGGTTTATATTCTTTTGTAGTTTAACGTATTTTATTTTTGTTTCAATGTTTAATTTAACTTTAACGTTTCCCTTTCAGATTATTTTCCCGAGATTCAGGTAGCACATTATGAACTATTAAGTCAAGTCATGTATTCTCTTCAAAAGGACAGAGATAGAGATGTTAGATACTTTGCCTGCCAGTCTTCTGAATTATTTAATGCAACATTGGAAGAGGTATTTTTTAAAAATGATCCAAAATTGCATATTGCCCATTTCTCCATCATTTCACTATAAATCTCTTAAATTTAAGTTCTCTTGAGGCTAGCATTCGTAGACCATGCCAAAATTTATAATAAAAAAGTTCCAGACATCATCTTTTCATGTTAAAGATTAACATGGAAAGAAGCTGTTTGCAACTATATTGTTTTTATTGATTTTGTTAATAATCTTTTTAACTAGTGCAAAAATTTTATTGTGCTGTATTACGGTAATTTCTGAAATACAGAGACACAATTAAAATGGAAACATTGAATAAAATTCTACCAATATAAGTTAATTTCAATAATATTATATAGTGCATCTAAAATAAACATATACACTGATTAATTATTGCTAATTTAAAAGGTTTATGCAATTTTTGGCATAAAATTTATTGTTTTTATAATAATAATAATTCATTTTTATGTAAATTACATAATGATTACAGAATTCTTTTTAATTTGATACAGAATTTTTCATGTAATTAACATAGCTTTCGAAAAGGATGGCCCAAAAGTCATTTAACTTAGTATACCTGATGTGCACACAAAACAAGTAAATATGAATTATCAGAATTAAATATATTCTTTTAAACTCAATGTAACAAAATTAAATGGCAAGTCTGAGTTAATTTTCATGCTTCCATTATCTTTGCAGTGGTTGACTGACTTTTGGGCTATCCTGTATAATTGATGTAAATTGCAAAAAAGAAATACTATACTAATAATAATATTTTTGTTCTTCAAGCTCTCTTCAGTTTGATAGATCCTCCGGGAAACCAACAACAATTTCGTATCAATTCGACTGCCATTGCAGAGTTTGGAGACAGACTATACTCACTATTTATCACACAAGAATATAATTCTGCAGTTTTTTTTATTATTATAATTTGCCATCCAATGGGTATATTTGCACATCGAACTTAAGATGTGGTTATTGCTCATAAAGGAGCTGTGATATGTTTTCAACAGAAAAAACTTTTGATTATTGTCAATATACGTTGTATAAATATTAGAATATTAATAGTTAATTACCATTTAAAAGTGGTATTGTTATCGAAAATATTTAGTATTTTGTTTTAGTTATTAAGCTAAGAATTTTGCTCCATAATAATGGAATCTTCTTTATCATACAAAGTTTATTCTGTATATAATTTGTATTACCAGTCAGGTGCCATTTTACAAATTGGATACATAATTTTATGCCAATTTTTTTTAATTAATTTGGTTTGACCAAAATTATTATATATTATATACACACACACGAAAAAAAATGCCATTTACAAAATGGCACTCTAATTATTCAATGGCATTTTAAATTGTTTGGTATTTTAGTAAGTAGGTAATTTTGTTGAATGGTTCTGATGAACTTTAAAAGTAGGGTTTAGTGTTTTTGTTATTAATGTGCAATATGAGAATTATAAATGAGACATTTATTAAAATGCAAAGAAAGGAAAATGTGATTTAGTTGTAAAAGAAGGAAATGTTTATAAGAACAGAGCTTCTTTAGTTGTTATAAGTATTGTTGTTCCATCAGATTATTATTCTTCCTAAATTGGAAATAAATTTTGTTGTTGTTCTCAAAGAATTTAGTTAAGTAATAGGATACTATTTGCGGCTTATTTGTAAGGATAATAAGATGTGTGTTAGCACATTAAAAATTAGTCAATTTGGAATTTCATAAATTCCAAAAGTGATATTTAAAAAACCAAAATATTTTTAGTGTGATTTAGCATTTTAAAATTACTAATTTTGTTTCTAAAGTAAGTTCCGTTCTGTTTGTATTGCACCTACTTTAAAGTCATTGTTACGTTGATTGCTTAAAGAGTATTGTACGTTGTGTTTAAGAGATGGAATATATCGAACGTCGATCAAAATGGAATTGAATAGTTATAGTGAATGTTATCAAATTTTATACAGAGTTATAGAAGAAATTGTATAGTCAGAATTTGACACTCAGTAAATAAATTTGATTTTTGCAAAAATGACGATCGAGTTGTGTGCAATTTTTTTTTTTTTTGTTTAAAAAACATTCTCGAATCTAATTGGATATTAAATTATTTTTCTTAATAAATATCAAATAAATATTTATTGTCTATATTAAAAATTTACATTTTTTTATTACAGGCACAAAAACGTTACAGAATTTTTTAAAAAATCACGCAATTTTTAAGAATTGGCATTCGTTATCAACTCTCTTTTTCGTTTACTTGGAACACTTGCTTTTCGTATTGTTTGTCGCCGTAAGTAGAGCTGTCATTCGTCTGCTCCTCCACGCTGGTTTCGTGACAGAGCGAGAGCGTGACCACGCTTTGTCGTCCGTACAGACCCATCACCACGGCTTTTCCGTCCGGTAAAAGTTGGCAACAACTAATGGCTTGATCCGGGGTGAAGACTGCCAGACACACACCTAGGCAATACAAATACACAACGGTACACAACCAAGCTTGGCATTCGAATTGGTTCGTTTCGTATCTTTAACTTAGGATAGCACCGATAATGACGACGACGTACAATTAAATAAGCATACGAAACAGCTAATTCTCTCTGTAGACAATATTTAAACGACACCACGCAACTAGCATTTCGTTGTAACGTTTAAACAACTTTGTATTTTCTGTTAATTTGTGCGTACATAAACTAGCGAATGGATTTCTACACTTTGTTAAAGGACACGAATCTATGCCGGATAAAATGATTGGGATGTAGATTATCACACAAGCGCAGAAAGATTTCAATGCTGCATTCATTCGGTAAAGCAAATTATCGAATGAATGCAGCATTCAACGCAATCAATTTGTTTTTCGTTTTTGATTCTTTCCGTTCCGTGGGCACTAGGGGATTTTTTAAAATCGTATCTATCGTGGGTGTCGGGTATTTCCTTACGAAATTTATAGCATGCCTAATTCTATATGAATTTCGACAATTATAAGTAAAAAATTATTTTGGGAGTAGGCCTATGCAACGTGAAAAGAAATTCGTCGAAAGACGTCTCCCTTTGAGTTGGTTCGGTAAGAAAAGAATCTTACTTGATAAAAGCCGAATCTATTACGTCAACAATCATTCACAAATTTTGTTCAAGTAACTAACTAACTTGTATTTATATTATAGTAACGTAATAGCCTAAATCAGGGATGGCGAACCTTTTTGAATTCGCGCGCCATATACGCATAAAGATCTTCAAAGTTAAGTATGCTTACTATATGTAGTAAGCATACTTAGCTTTGAAGATCTTTATGCGTATCAAAGTTTTAGACTTGGAGTAACGATATGTGAAGAAATTAAACGAATATGCTCTAATTAGAATAAATATAAAAAAGGATGGTCGAGTGATAAACCGAAAGGACGGAGAAAAAAAGGGTGATAAACAGAAATCGTATGATACGTCACGTGCCAGAGATTTGCCACTCCTGGCCTAAATGTACAGTCGATCCCCTATAACGCGGTAGATACGTTCCACTTTATAAGAATTTCACGTTGTAGGAATCCTTAAATACATGAGCCAATCACAGCCCGGCACGTGTGCAGTTTACGGACTACGGCTATTTGAAAGGTTTTCTTCCATAAAATTAATCGATTCTAGACTACTTTGACTCAACATTTCCAAAACACGTATAATTTTTTGGGAATAATCCGTATAAACTACGCTATAAACAAAAAATTGTGGGATTACTTACCGAGTGTGCATTCGACGACGCCATTGCTTAAGCTTGTTTTCGTCGCGGAGCAGCGCACCAAACGGCGGGCGCGTTTTCTGATAAGCGAATTTTTCGCAGAAAAATAACTTTGGAGACATCATTAAAAGAAATAATTTTTATGGCCGTTGAATAAGAAAAGTTTTTTTCACAAGAAATGTATAAAATTACAGTACTGTATTAGACTTACAGTACCTAATTTATATACTGTATAGACGATAGTAAACTCAACTTACCCGCCTAAACTCTCCGTAGCGTGTATTTCGGCTGCTCGTCCACTATTGGTCCAGATTCGACCAATCCTGTCGCGACACGAGTCGGCGATGACGTTTTACCGCATTTTACGAGTCTCTTTTAGCATCTTTATACGAATACGGTCGCAATTTTTTCGCCGCGGTATACGAATCCGCATTATATGAACCCGCGTTATAGGGGGTGGACTGTATTATTTTTATACAGTAATTAAGGTGACTTACCGTTTACTTTCGATAAAAAGTTCTCTTTAAAATGATTTTAAATCTCTCGTAAATATGTAAAGTAAATCACTCACCGTTTGCTAAGTCCCACATTCGGAGACTTCTGTCTCTTCCCACTGAATCGTAAGTGACGCAGACCGTACCTTTGTCATTCGTTCGGATTTGGTCGATTGGAGCCGTGTGACCCTTCAGCGTATATCTGCCAATTCGAAGAAACTATTTACGAACTATTACATTGTTTTTACTTTATTTATTTATATAAAACTACGTATATCCGAATCACTATTACATGGAAAAATACAAAACATTACGTAGTTACGGACGAAAATCGAAATCCGAAACTGTATTACAGCGTGCTGTAATTATACAAATGTCAAACGAAAGTATGGTAGGACGACAACGTGATTTATACAACAGATTTCGTGTACATTTGTCACGTAGACAACGTTCCGTATTACCTGCCCAGAATATTCCGTTACGACTCATTCCCAAAAGTCAGATTTCGGTAATATAACGTTAATAAAATCAATGGATCAATTTAGTTTTACCACAATAAATTATTGCTATAAAAATGGAATTATTAATTAAACACGTTTTATTGTTTCGCATATAAATTCACGAGTTATCCTATAAATTGTAAAATATGACGAGGTTAATTACAGGACAATCCGCTGGATTGTGAGCGTGAAATACGTTCATTCTTCCAACACCAACTGCAACAATGGATTATAAAATATTGCATACCAGGTTTAGGACCGGTTGCACGAGTTTCTTCGACTCCTCGGATAGAATTTTTCTGCTAACTGGCCGATAGCTTACTACATTGTTTACCGTTTCTCGGTAGCGCAACTAAACTGATTTGAGTGTATGCGGAAATACTGTAGATTAAATTAAAGTATGGGTGAATTTTAAGTATTTATAA